ATGTCTTAAGATAATTTTGCATTCTTTTACCAATGAAGAATAAAACTTATGAATGTGCCGTGTTTAAACAAATTTATAAAGTTTATTATTATTTTTCCACTTTTATTTTTATTACATTTTATAGTAAATGTTACATCAAAAATTAACTGTATTTTATTTATAAATATTTTTTTTATACTTCATAGAACGGCAAACAATCTAACGGCCCATCTAATGAAAAGTGGTAACCGTCGCCTATAGACATGAGCAGTACCATGGACATAACAGAGTATACTGTTTCGCCCATGATACCCCCCATGCGTTGCTATTCCCGAGGACTCAGGTATTATTCCTCTGTGCCGTGTAAATTCACACTAAATCCCACCCTTCAAACCGAAACACAGCTATATTCTCTTAATATATATGTTTGCATAAATAAGCAGTTAAAATTAAAAAAAAAAAAACTGTACCTAAAAATATTTGTACTTTGTAAATTAAACGAATTTTAGCATATAAAGTTAATTTAATATGTACGAAATATACATAAAATATATGTACGTATACTCCATTTAAATTGCCTTAGAGGTAATAAATTGTTTCTTAAAACAACCCTTTCAATTAGGTGCTTGAAAATTCTAAGGTACTCCCAGTTACTTGGTATTTACGGCGCGGCTCTACCAAGATAATAGGCCTCGTAAAATAAAATAAATAATTAGGTAGGCACATCCATGAATAAGTTAATTGTTACAGTGCAAGGGGGTGAACGGGCTGTTTTCACCCTTGAACGACCCCACTAAATTGCTGTTGGGGCGGAATATGACAGTTCGTTCTCGCTTCGCAGATGGATGGTTGTAGGAGGGGGAGCTACCACGATCCGAATGGCACTTTGCTTTTTAATATACAAATAGTTTTATTTCAAGTAAAATTGTATTGTATTGTATTGTAAAATCTTTATTGTACATAACTCAGATTGAATACTGGTAAATGATTTAATATACAATGGCGGACTTATCCCATAAAGGGATCTCTTACAGTCAACCTTTGGGAAGCTGAAAGAAAACTGTAGAATGTATAAGGGTAATAACTGTACAATTAAAGATAAACTAAATAATACCTAGTAAAAAAAATTAATATATAACACAGAAAAAACAGCTCTATATACCTACATATGTAAATAATAAAAGTACATGAATAGAATTTAATGAAAAGGTGCTTCGATTAAATTATTACTGAAACAATTTCTAAACGAAATTAGTAACAAATCCAATAAATTAATTAATCTATGTTTTATTTCTACTATGGGCAGTTAGCAGCGGCAATTAATCTATTTCCTATATTCACTGCTATATATTACATATATACTATACCATATATAATATATATATTCTGTCCCATTCGTGTTTCAACCGTGAAGCAGTTGTGTTTGCATGGCTGTGTTTCGATTTGAAGGGTGGGATATAGCGTGAATTTACAGGGTACAGAGGAATAACACCTGAGCCCTCAGGAATGGCAACGCATGGGGGGTATCATGGGCGAAACAGTATACTCTGTTATGTCCATAGTACTGCTCATGTCTATAGGCGACGGTTACCATTTTCCATCAGGTGGGCCATCAGCTCGTTTGCCATTCTAAGTTGTATAAATATATATATATATATATATATATATATATATATATATAAACCACGAACAAAAACCAGTTCAGTTTAATTAAATCGCATTAATCTGCGAGCGCTACAGACCAACTGTAGTCTGCTTCAATAGAAGTTAATGAAATTGTAAACAAACGAATGATTGACCTGACCATAAAACAGTCTGCTGATGTCCAACAACAGTCATCGTATGACCCCCTTAATCATCATGTCAGCCCTTAACTGTGGGGGGAAAGAGATTATTAGCAACGGAGTTTGACAGCACCATTGCTAGCAATATACCCTATTAGGTCGACCTCCACGTGGTTCCCCCTGAAAACCATCGTGAACAATTATTGTTGAATTCATCACGATAGGCTAACGGACCTAGTTCATCCTCACCTGTCATTCTTCACTGGTGCCCCGTAGGTGTATACCGATAGCGCGGGTGGGTTTACCATTCCATTATCATACATTAAAAAGAAATCACCTTTACTTTTTTAATATTAGTACAGTTTCATAATACGACAAGCGGCCCGTCCCGGCTTCGCACGGGTGGACATTTTTACAACATTTTAAAAAGTGTTTATTGTGACATAACGATAATAGTTAGGCAGTATAGTATCGCGAAGTTTTTTGTAGTTATTGATATTTTCTTTAATATTGTAGAACATACTTTTGTTCTATCACCAATAGTTACTGCAGCGCACGCGATGTAAGATATTTTATAGCATTTTGTTTACACCTTGAGTTACGTTAATAAAGTTTTAGTAAGGATCCTTAATTTTTTCTAGCTATATATATAGCCTATGTTACTCAGGGTGAATGTAGTTTTCTAATGGAGAAAGAATTTCTGAAATCGGCAAAATAGTTTTTTAGTTTATTCATTACAAACATACGTACAAAAATACCAATCTTTCCTCTTCATAATATTAGTGTAGATAACAAAGTAGATAGCTGGCTACCGTCATTATCGGGCTATAAACAAGTCGGGCTTTAAGATGTTATAATACAAAATATACATCTGTCTCGCAAAGCTAAGGGTTTCTTTGAAATAATTTCATTTACCGCAAGAAAGTTAATCAAAAGTTTCATACTTTTCATATTTTCCAGTGGCACATTAACAAATAAACAAGCTAACTGAGAGTTGCCTCCACGCCGATTGTTCAGAACTCGTGTTTTCATGACACTTTTCTTTTTATAAATTGTTGTGTACTAATATTTTACGAAGTCATCCGAGATCTTTTAAATTTTCTGCGTTGTTTGTTGTTATTGTTTTTTTTTTTTTTTTTATTTAAGTGATTAAATCGTAACAAATTATTTTGGCCATTGTGCGTATATTAAATAGTTAATAAACGAATATGAAATCGTGACGCGATTATCACCTTTAATAATATTTCATTATAGGGGGAAGGAATTGTTAATTAGTAGCTATTTATCAAGTTGACTTCCACGCGGTTTCCCCTGAAAACCATCATGAAAAATTCATAGGTGAATTCGTCACAATGGGCTAATTTTTTTTTATTCAATCGATCTGCCTTTTCATTCCCACCTATCATCTATCGCTGGCGTCCCGTTAGTGTATACCGATAGCACGAGTGGGGTTACCATTCCATTATCGACAATTAAAAAAAATCTATTTTATAATTACAAATAATTTAACATATATATATATATATATATATATATATATATATATATATATATATATATATATTATACAATTAAAGTTGTTATTTTTTGTGATATTTTGTGATTATTATTATTAATATTATAATAGCGAAAGTTTATACCTCACCTTTCAAGGACATGACCTTCAATAATAAAGTGGACAAAGAGAAAGAGAGAGAGTATGTTTGTAACTCTTTCACGCAAAAACTACTGAACGGATATGAATAAAATTTTGTACATGGGTAGATTATATCCTAACTTAACATATAGGATACTTTATATAGTAATTTACATGGGCAAATCCACAGAATAAATAACAATAAATAATGCCCTTAAAAGCCAGTACTTTATGAAAAGACGTATCAGAGACATCTATCCAAGAATTATGCAAACCAACTTCGAAGTACAACAGATCAAGTCACGATAACGTTGCATGTTTACGAGTACAATGTCACAAAACATTTGCATAGGTCTCGGTTAGATTCGTGGCTTACCAAAAATAGTTTCAATCCGAACGTCTTGAATTTTGTATCGTGTATATGCACAACGCAACGTCTGGTGGCATTAATTTTCAACAACTCACAAAGTACCACGGTTTAGTTGGTACAAGGAGCCCCAGCCCCGAGTTGCGACCCGGGCAGATTTCCCCAGAGTGTACCCCGGTGAGTACATAGCGGCGCATAAATTGATAGAAAAGGATAGACGTTGATAGTACTAACATAGTGATTGATCAATATGTCGAATTGAAATCTAAGAACATTTTCATTTAACAGTTAAACAGTGATACAATTTTGAAAATCGAAATTTTACTTATTTATTTATTATATAATATATAAATTAAATGTAATATAAACTATTATGTATATATATATATATATATATATATATATATATATATATATATATATATATATATATATATATATATATATATATATATATATATATATATATACCTAAAATAAATGCAAAATAATACCAATAAAAAACCGTTTAAAAACAAGTTCCACAGCTTTTGTCTCGCAGAAGTATATAAGTATATAAGTTATATGTAAAATACACATATTAGTGTTATTGAGCTGCTAAATATTGTTTAAAATAACTGATATTAAATGTTTAATAGTTTATAAACAAAGAAGGATATCTTATCCCAAAATAAAGAAGGATTAGGTAGCCTTCTTTATCTATATATATCTTATATATAAAATTCTCGTGTCACGGTGTTTGTTACCAAACTCCTCCGAAACGGCTTTACCGATTTTTATGAAATTTTTTGTGCATATTGGGTAGGTCTGAGAATCGGCCAACATCTATTTTTCATACCCGTCAATGATAAGGGTCACCCACCCCATAATTTTTTTTTTATTTTCTTGACATTTTTTTTTTTATTTTTAATTCATTATAATTTAGCATTGAAAAATACACACAACTTTAAATTTTCATCGTTTTACGATCAACCCCTGTATTTTAATCGCGATTTTTATATTTCGCAATAAGTGGTAAAACAACGTCTACGGGGTCAGCTATATATATATATATATATATATATATATATATATATATATATATATATATATATATATATATATATATATATATATACATGTTTTTTTTTTTTTTATCTTTTTTCACTATGCATTTGTGTGTGTTGCTGTTTGTGTATTGTAAGTGATGCAAATAAATTATCTATCTATCTATCTATCTAATATTACCCTTTACCTTATATGTACCAAGATGCTCCACCACGCACGGTAGACTGGCATCTCTGCCGAGTGCCACGGTGACGTTGGGTATTGGCTCGGCGAAACGGGGCTCCTCTGTTAACACTGCGAACAATACAGAATGTCGGTTAAGAAACGGTATTGTTTCTTCATACAACTTGGAATTCTAAGATTTATTTATTTAAACTTTAATATACAGTGAAAATATTGTTATATTTTCAGGCTGCAGCTGAAAATCAGTGCTTTGCTTTTAAGCAAAACTATGGCTGAGCTGCGGCTTATTTGGGTCACTGCGACACACATGGTGAAAACATATTATTGTATTTTAACTTTTGTGTTTTATTTTTCTAATTATGTGACTTATTTGATTGTATGAGTTCATTTGTTAATTTATGTGTTTCATAACACTATATAAAGTGTATATCTATCTATCTATCTATGTACATTTGACGGACTTAATGTCAGACGGTGTTCTCTATCAGTCAGTCGTGCAGATATCTGTTGAAAAGGGCTAATTGTTGTTTATAATAGTCTTTTTGCCACTAGCCGCTGTCGTACAAATTCTGGAAAAAGGTCACCTTTGTATAGACTTGCGAATTCATGTAACGCTTTATTTAATGATGTTGATATTACTAATGAACGCCCAAGCACTTTTAAAAAGCTAATCTCTAAAAGATTCATGTAATTTTTAAATGTTCTTGTTTGCATCAGCTATTTGTATTACGAGTATATTTGAATCGAAACTGTGGTAAACGGTGTTGGTGGCAAATTTACTCAATGTTTTCTTTGATCAATATTATGTATTATTCTTTATTTTGTAACTGTTAGTTTTCCCAAATAAATGAAAAAAAAAATTTAATATTATTTATTTATTTATATACAGGATACAAATAGTTATGTATACTAAAACAATTAAAACAATACTGTTACTAAGAGACTTTGCGGTATGCATAAATTATAGCTACAAGTTGGTGTCAGTAATTATAAGTCATACATAATAACAAAATTACATACACTAATTATGAAACTAATACAGCTAATTAAACTAATAGAGCAAAAAGTTGAACCACATTTTTTGGGTACGTAGCACTCTACCACTAACCATGGGTCCCGTTCGCTTCCACTTCGTTCGTACACCTGGATTATGGATCTAGTTCCCTTCTGCAGTTTTCTCTTTATAATATGGTATAATATGGAAATTTTTGAAACAATATTACTTCTAACATTTAAAGGACCGTCAATTGTTGTACGTTTGTGATTTTGCACTTGTATAGTCTTAAAATTTTATTATATTCAAAATAACGTAATACTGTTATTGCCTTGTGGTCCCGGCATAGAATAGGCCATCCCTTCCTTTCCCTTGGATGTTGTCAGAATCGACTAAGGGAGGTCGAGGTATGGGCAGGAGTGTTCCCCTTAAAATATCTATAAAGCCTAACTACGGTTGCCAACCTGCCTGCCAAGCGTGGCAACTACTGGCAAAACCCCCCAACAGGGATGCTTAAGTTCAGAAAAGGACAGTTAAAGGCTGATATGTTGATAATTATGAATATTGTTATCGAATAAATTGAATTGTATGCACAAGCAACTTCAATCGTATTGCAAGTGTACGTACGTACATGGGCGACGGCAGTCGTTGTATAAGGTGAACTATCAAAATAAATTTTGATATAGTTACAGAAGATAATTTACTTAGTAGCTAGCACACTTTATATTTAAACTCTTGTGTCGTCTAACGTCATTTGTCTATGGGACTCAAAAAATCTAATCTCAAGATTATGGATGTTTATAAAGAGGAAACAATAACGGCCTCCATCCTCCAAACAGCAAGCATTAATAAACGATAGAAACAAAGCCTGAAGAATTTGGAAGCAAAACACAAAGATGTTTTCTGAGCCGGCGCGGATTGACATTTTTAATCAACCGCGAAGTTCGGCCCTCGTAATGACAGGCAAAACATTGTTTATTACCAAAGTTCGGCGGATAAAATCAGATAACAACACTTTGTAAAGGGCCCCGGTCGATAAGGGACAGAGGCACTGTTTCGATTTTATTAAAAACAGTTTTTCAGCTTTGTTGTGCAATATCGGAGTTTCGTGATTATTGACGTGTTGTGAGAATGAAAATTAAAAAAATATATATGACCAGTATTGAATTATAATATTTTATTATTTATGCTTCTGTAGTCTATGATTAAATTTTTTGGTGGACTAGGAGAGAATCCACCAAGGTCTGCCTTTTGAAACGAATTTTTTTTTTATAATATGGTCAATAAAGAATAAATAAATTGTTTAAATAATAAAGAACGTAATATGCACTCGATATGACCAAATTTTACGAACATACGTTACGTGGTGATCGAATTACCCACCGCCACTCGGATTAGCTAATATTTTTTTTCCCAAAAAATGTGACTCGATTCAAAATTTGTAGAGAGCCAAGATAGAAGAATTCCATGTTTAATATATATAAATAAAAATTAAAAGTTACTATTTTATTTGTAAAACATAATATGCGTGTTATTTTCGAGACGAGAAGATTATTTTTAAACGCCAGTCCAATATGCAAAATGAATATAACTTTGACAGTTAATCATTGGATATATAAAAAACTGTCTGAACCAGAAAATAAAATATTAACATTTCCCTTTTACGACAAATAAATGATATTATGTTTTGTCAATAGTCCTCTCAAAAGAATATCCGCCCGTACAAATACATCTTTGAAGGAAATGATTAAGTAGAAATATTCTGAGCATTCATGTATTTTGGTTTCCATTTCATACTACCTACCTACAAAGAATTTATTATGTTTTCCAATAATATACCGAGTAGGCAAATGAGTTAATAAAAAAAGAAACGTTTCCCAATACAAATAATAATATAGATATGAATTCTTTTGGGAATTCTCTTTTTTATTCGATGGCTAATCTACGTTAAGTATAATAGCTGTTTAAAATGTTAACAGTGATCAGGAATTTTAAAATATATTCTTTCTGCCACATGGAAGACTATTTTTATACTTGAACGATATATATCTTGCGGTTTCCCTCACATGAATTGGCATGAAGTATCCCAAGAGTTAAGTTGAATATAACCTACTAGTGTATTAAATTTAACTGAAATTTGTTCAGTAGCTTTTGCGTGTAAGAGTAACAAAGATCTAACCATCCGTCGTCCAGCCATTCTTACAAACTTTTGTATTTGCAATATTTATAGAATTATTAGGATAGTGGATGCACAGTTTGGACAGCCGGTTCAGAACATTGTCAATAGAAGAAGGGAACCAAGGACTATTGTAATTAAACTATATATATTTTTATTATATGCATATGCTTTCACGAAGCACTTTTATATTAGTTTACGATGTCATTCTATCATGTTTGTTTCCGTAAAATTGGCTCACTGATCTATATTTGTTAAACACCGTGTTTTGGTAATCCCTTATTCGTCGTCAGGTTCGTCTGGTACGGGGTCCAATGTACTGTGTAATGTTGTATATTTCTTTTGTTTAATAAATAAATAAATATAATAGATTGTTTTATTTCTTCTATCCAGTATATAACGCTTAGTCAGTCATAATAAGCACCCAACAAATAGGGCGAAAGCCGCAACAATTTTTATACCTGAACATTAATCTACATTAGATAAGCGAAATACCACTCACTCACGATTAAGATAATCCCACGGGAATGAGACTGAACGATCTTCGCTTGGACGAAGCCGCAAAAAACTATTAGTGTAATAAGTTGCGGGAATCTGCTCGGGTAATTTAAATTACAATAGGGTTTTCTAATTCAGTGGTGTGGGGTTCGGGATTGTTACTTTTGATTATGAATTTTTTTTGGACATTTTAAAAATGGAATCAACTTCAGTTTTTAGTTTAAATTTTTAGTTGGTCTATAAAAAAATGGTTAATACTGACCTTCAATAGGTTTGAGGAAGTTAATGTGTTATAATGCAGTGAACATTTGCCGGAGCCCAGCATAAACAAAACTCCACTTTAGATTCACTACATCCTTCATTAATTTACAGGGTACAAAGGAATAACATCTTAGTCCTTAGGAATGACATTGCATGGGGAGTATCATGGGCGAAACAATATACTCTGTTATGTTCATAACACTGCTCATGTCTATAGGCGACGTGTCCCATTCTTGTTTCTACCGTGAAGCAGTTGTTTGCATGGCTGTGTTTCGATTTGAAGGGTGGGATATGGCGTGAATTTACAGGGTACAGAGGAATAACATGCATGGGGGGTGTGCACGACGCACCTTTTTAGTTTCTTTCTTAAATTTATTAAAAAGATGTTTTGTTTGTAATTTGAAGTGTGTGTCAGTTTCGGTTTTGTTTTTGCCTTCGCTTTTTTACTCCGTTGGTTTGCTTTGTATATTTTTTATATAATTATATTATCTTTCTAAAACACCGTGTTTCCATACCAGCATACAGTCCTTTCGCCCACATTTTTGGTCCTTCTCCCTTATTTTATTATATTCAGTGAATCAATATTCGAAATTTTCAAAAAAAATGGAAACACGGTCGGGTCGCGTAAACTGTGTTCGGCAAATACTCGTACGGCAAAAGCGTTGCCCCTACCACCGTCGGCAGAGGAAACGCACCCTGATGCCGCCGCCTCGGCGTCGGTGTCCACCGTACCACCGATCGCAGTTAGTGCTCACAGCACATCGACCTGCAGCCGCTCATCAGCTACGGTTCGTGCTAAGAAGCTTGCAGCGGAAGCGCTACACGCACAACAGCTCGCTGAGATCGAGTTGGAGGCAGCCGCAGCACGTCGCCGCGTTGAGTTGGAGGTGGCGAGAAAGAAATATAATGCACAAATTGCAGAAATTGAAGCAGCCAGCTGTCGAGGCAGCCGATCTAGTGATCATGCTAGTATTGGTCGTAGCTGCAATGAAGATGTGGATAAATGGTTAGATGGTCATGACTAATCTACACCTTTAAAATTTTCTAATAATCCACAGGTAAATACACACCCCCCTGCTGTTAATTTAATCGCACCAATATCTGCGTTGGTGTCCGCAGTAGGTAAATTAACAGATAAAATTGTTGCTCCTCCGAAAGGGATTAATACGAAGCTTCCGTATT